TCACATTTACAGCGTGATTTAAAGAAACAGGTACAGCATTGTTACATGATTTATATATTGCCAACCCAACCGTTAGGTTACATTCCTAACATCAAGCAAGCTGGCAAGGGTGGACGGGAGGTGGGACTGGAAACAAGCCAGATGGAATCCCTGGGGAGTGCAATAGAGCAACTGAGGGAGGATTTTGACCGGGCCACCCTTCATGAGGGGCCATCATGTCACCCAAAAGAGAGGGGAGGGACACCTGATCCTGTTGAAGGGAGAAGATGAAGACTGGAGCGCAGCCCCCTCCCCCACCCGATAGAAAGAGAAGAAGCCCAAAATGGCAATCAGTGCCTCTCCCACGCAGCAGGCAGGCTGCCAAGAACTTTGCTGAAGTTTGCTGAAATGCTACATATGCGGGCAGATGAGCCACATGGCAGCTGCATGTCCAACCTCAGCCCCAAAACCAAGGTCAGACCCACCGCCCAGGGCAGGACCAGAACGAGGCCCCAAACAGACCATCAACATGTCCGGTAAAGCCCTCCAGGCTGTAGAGGCCCCTTCCCCCTCAGGTGAAAGTGGTAGAACCCCAGGCAATGACAACCAGTCACCCGAATCATATGACAGCAAGGATGAGGGAGAAAATGACCCAACGGTAAGTGAACCAATTCACCTTTCCTTTTTCCAATATGCCTCACAGCCCCAAAAACAGGAAACCAGGGGGATTTTCAAGACCTAATAGACTCAGGCTGCACGAGGTGCTTGGTCAACGTAACCACAGTCCTGAAACTGGGGATCAGAGCAAAAGGACTGGCCCACCCAATTTGGTTCTAGCAGGTCAACAGGTCCCTAATGGGGGGAGCCTATGCTACCCACCTGACTGAACCAGTAAGGCTAGAGCTAGCGGATCACTGGAAAGTAATTTGATTCATAATGGCCCCCAAAGTGACAGACACAGCCATACTGTGACTTTCCTGGCTAGACAAGTGGGGACCTAACCTCCCAAGAGGTGTTCGAAACACTAAAAGAAATGTTTGCAAAGGGGCCAGTGCTGAAGCATCCTGACCCCGAGCAACCGTTCATGATCCAGGCAAACGCCAACATCATGGCAGTGGGAGTGATGCTACGCCAAAGAAACAACCAAGGAAACTTTGCCTACACCTCCTGCAAGCTCACAGACACAGAGAGATGACAGGCCGTGTGGAAAAAGGAGGCTTTCGCAGTGAGAGGGGCACTGCTAACCGGAGACATCTGTTGGAAGGGGGCCGGAAACTGTTCAAAGTCTGAACTGACCACAAAAATCTGGAGGCATTTAGGACCCTATGGAAACTATCACCCAAACAAGTCAGATGGGCTCAATACTTCAACCGTTTTGATTTTGTTTTAAAGCACATTCCAGGGGGGGAGGAACTTTCTAGCTGATGCCCTATCCCACATGCCCCAGTACAAATGCGAACGGGAGCACATAGTGAATGCCATCATTCCCTCTACTCAAACTGGTGCTCAAGTGACCACCAGGCGGCAACGCCATGACCAGAAAAACCAACCTGCAAGCTACCTAACCATGAGGCTAAAAACCGAACTAACAGACCCCTGGTTCCAAAACAACCAACACATCTTGATGAAAAGAGATGACCTTGCATGGAAGGGGATGAAACTCTACGTCTATGCATCCTAATTCTCCAGAGGAGCCATGACACCAAACCGGCAGGCCACTTTGGATTCCTAAAGACTTTACACTTAGCCCGGAGACAATTCTGGTGGCCTGGCATAAAGAAAGATGTGGATAGTTACATGAAAAGTTGCATCATGTGCCACAATGAAGAGACGGCC